TGATACAAACTTTAGTCAGAAATATCACAGCACAGAGACAGTTGTGTTACAACCGTTTTTTTCTACCAAGGTTGAACAGATAAGTGGGGAACCTTCGAAACACCGTTCCTGCAAGCCAAGGTAGAACAGCAGCTTCTCTGTGAAACCCATGCTTGAAGTGGGTTGACATGACTCCTCTGATCAGGGTTCTCCAAGAATATCAAGACTTTCCTCATCTCCATTTGCAGAGGAGAGGTTAGGAACTGCTTAATAATTAATCTATTAAGTTATGGAGCAAATGGTTACCCTTTGCGTCCGATAAAGGTACCTAAATCTGATCTAGAAACCTGTCTCCCAAAATTATCAGCAAAATGCTGGGGATGGTAGCGATGTCTTTCTCTTATGGTTGGCTTTTATCCACTCTGATTATCGTCATCTCGATAGTAACTGTTGAAATGTTTATTTTCCCCACATTTCTCTAAGCTGCATCACCTAATAGCTTTACCATTTCTTCTGGTAGCAGTTCTTTTAATTGTATAATTATATGTTCTGCAGATAATTTCTTTGTCCTGAATCTCCTGCCCTGAATTTATCAGGAAAAGAAAAGGATCTCTCTGTGCTATGTATGTATTATGTATTATTTTATGGATTCCTCCATAGTTAGATACCTTTGAAACTAAACAGCTCCAGATATTTCCATTTTACTTTGTATAGTATATAAACACTCCAAACTGATCATATTGGGCAAACTCTGCAATGCATTTTTCCAGCTATCCAGCCCTTCTGTTATGGCACATGCAATAGAAGGGAGCTGGCCATGATCTTCGGGTGCCTACATGGGGCTCTCCACCCAGAAGCATCTTCTTACACATCGTCCCTTCCTCCTCTGTTGGTTTTGACCATGAGAAGGTTGGGAGGAGAAATGAAGAAGAGCTGAGAGTGCAGGCTTTGCTGACATCCTTAAGCTCCACTTTCTGTGCTGAGTAGGAAGATGACGGTGTGGAGAAGCAGAAAGCCCCACAAGTCATACATTTGAGCAGATGTGCCTGGCAAATGATTTCCAGCGTCCTATTTGGCTCCCCTGATGCATTTGGGCAAATTCATTCCTTCTCAGAGTCATCCTTGGCCTTGCTTTTTCAACTTCATCTCTCAGCCTTCCAACTCCACTGCCAATTTCCAGTGCTCTGATTACAATTCCCAGCTCAGTACATTCACTTCTTGCCATTCCTCCAGTTTTCCTCTCTCCTGAATAACCACAGCATAGATTTATCCATGTAACCTGGCCTATCTTGTTCTGGCTTACATTCTCAAATATTCATAGCTTGATTATTCGGAGCCTGAATCCCTAACGTGGCACCTGGTATACTGCTGGGTCCCACAAAACTACTTAAAAAAATATGTGTTTTGGGAGGGGGGAAAGTAACAAGCTGTAGAAGAAAGCATCAGCTGCTTGCTTCATCTCCATGTCCAAAAATACCACTGGAAACTTCTGGTCAACGTGGGTTTGGTGATTGGCTATATCTCCCGTGGCAGCCATTTTAGGAGAATGCCCTTAACTTTTCAAATGCACCTCCTGTCCCAGAAACCTCCACGAAACAGTTTGTAATATAATAGATCTAGATCTGAGCCCAAAGATATATAATGTTTAATATTTTATATTAAATGCTCTGTTCATATTCAATAAACTGAAATGATTGCACTGCTCTCTAGTAATACTAAAATGAAACACTTATTCAAAGCTGTATACAAAGGTTTAAAAATCCTTTTCTATCTGTTCTTCTTTTTTAAAAAATAATTTTATTGAAGATTACAATTGCAGTAGTAAAAATTAATACAAACTAAAAGAAAGACAGAAGAATAAAAAGAGCCAAGGGTGCAGGAAAAAAAAGGAAAACATAGAAAGAAAAATAGGAAAGAAAGAAAAGTAAGAATATAATAAAGAAAATAAATATATAAAGAAGTGACTTCCCACCTTCATTGCAACAAGTATAAACAATTTTAGTAAAGTATCACCTCCTCTTAATTTACAACCAATGATCTCTTCATCCCATGTCCCATCTCTTATCTATAGACAAATCCATAAAGCATAAAGTTCTGGTGTCAGCAAAAGTCCATTAAGGGTCACCAGAAATAACAACATAGCTATTTTAACCCTGATCAAATAAACCAACTGTATATTCCTTCCTTTTACTTCTAACAATGTTAATCTTGAGTCCATTCAAGTAATGTAGAACATGATTTCATTTCTTTTTTGCCCTTCTCACAAGATTCATCCAAGCCTTAACAAACCTATTCTGTAGATCCAATATAAAAGAATTTTCCAGGTCACACTCTTGGTTTATTATTTGTAATTCCCTTTTGATTTTTAAAGCATCAACTGATTTCTTTCATATGTCCAATAAGACATCTTTTTTCATGTCATTTCATAGCCTGTCATTTGTAGATCCACTTTCAGTGTCAACTCTATCTCTGCCTTGTCAGGTAAAACTTGTTCCTCATCTGCCATTTCTTCCATAACATCTTTTGGACATACCCTATCCATAGAAGTAAACATCGCTATTGACATTGTTGATAATAACTTCTGGTTCCATTTTTCAAAAGTGTCCTTTAGTATTTCCTGTGTTATAATATTCTGTGTCATTCTGTAGCTGTTAATTAGGTTTATGTATTCTTCTCCTTTAATTAAAATCTTTAGTTCCGCTCTAGTGTCCAATTTTTA